ATAAGTAGAGGTAAATTTTTGGGGCCGGAGCTGGTCGTATCTCGAAAAATTCGTAAGTAGGGGCGTTCGTAAGTAGAGGTACCACTGTTATAAGAACTTTTCATGTATATGTATGTGAGATTTGTTCTTGATCCAGGGCAATTGCTGAAATTCTTTAGATATGGCTTCTTTTTCTTCAGTAAACATTCTGATTCAGAAGTTCTTGGATGTCTTATGAGCTTGCCCTAGGGATTTATTCATTTGGGAAGTGAAACCCGACCACATGTTTACCTACTATTCTGCTGTTTTGTTTTCCAGGAAGAAAAAGTGTTCATTTAGACAATGAATGAGCAATTATATAAAAACAATGAATTCACACACAGTCTGAAGAAGGAATTTCATGGTTAATTTTTCACAGAATGGAAGGTTCTTTTTTTAAAAAAATCTTTCTTGGAGGGAAGTAACTGCTATTCCATAAACACAGTTCAGGAATCCAGGATTTGGGACTTGCTATAGTTGAGCAATTGTGTGTCTATGCCAGGGTTTCTCAACCTTAGCAACTTTAAGAAGTGTGGACTTCAACTCTCAGAATTTCCCAGCCAGCCCTGGGTGGGGAATTCTGGGAGTTGAAGTCCACACTTCTTAAAGTTGCTAAGGTTGAGAAACCCTGGTCTATGCCAATATACAAAAAGTGAAGTGTCCTTTGAGTCAAGCTCAACTCCTTCTGATTTCATGGATGTCTCCATGTAGTGTTCTTAGCCATGATTGCCATTGCCTTCTTCAGGATGTTGTTTGACTTCCCAGTCTAGTAACACAACCTGAGATCCCCTGGGGATCTCCTACCAAGGACTAGCCAGCCCCAACCTTGCTTTGCTTACACACACACATTTGCCAATTCATATCAGATATCCTTCATACGATAGATACAAGTCCATTCACACTCAGACCATGCTAAAGCTGACTACCTATGGTGCCATATAGCAATTCTCCTTTTCTTTAATTCTATTTATCCTGGGAAAATTAGGAAAACATGCATAAAAAGGAGAAAGTTCCGTTCTCTTCAAATCTGTACATTTCAACATATTGTAGTACAGTGTATCTATACCAAATCCTAGTTTTTAAAAATTCAGGTAAGATGGAGTACATTCAATGTGAACCTGAGCAGACACCCCCTTGCAAAAAAATTCCCTGCAGTTTCTGTCTCCCTGAATCTTACAAGCACTGCACATCTGTCCAGGGATTTCTCCAAATCTCCATAGCAGATTTTTAGGCTGGCTGTGTGTGTTAAGAGGAGAAAAAAATATCTTCTCTGGTGCGTCCCATCTCACCAGCAGAATGTCATTCCATGAGATTCTACCCTCTAACTATTGCTGTTGTTCAGTCGTTAAGTCGTGTCCAACTCTTCATGACCCCATTAACCATATCGCGCCAGGCCTTCCTGTCCTTCACTGCCTCCCTGAGTTTGCTCAGTTCCATG